GTGTGTGTGTGTGTGTGTGTGTGTGTGTGTGTGTGTGTGTTTTGATTCTTTTGAATCCGTACTTGTATTTGCACTACTCGCCATCCACCAACATTCTGAATGCATCAAGACAGCTAAGTGTTCAGATTCATTCAGTTTTTTTTCGTGTGTGCGTGAACTTGTGATTGTTCCCTCAACACCTGCCAGCGCGTTGCTGAGGTCTCACTTACCGCTCTCCGGATTTACACATGTCGCGGCTGCCAACCACGCCTTCTTCTTGCCAGGATTTAGTTTCACCCCGTGGAGGTGGTCCGTGGGAACTGCGCCCAGATCATAGCGGTTACATCCCGGTGTTCGAAGGTCGCAGGACGGACGTGCTTGACTGTCAGTACCACACCTCTCAGCGCCGTAGACTTGGCCCTTCTTTCCAGCTCTACAAGCAGAGCTTGTGACCGGAATTTCATTGTTCGCATAAATTGGCCCCGCTGCTGGATTCTCTCCACAATTGAGGCCGTTCCGATGAAGACCTGGCTGCGCGTCGCTTAATTCAGGGAATGTGGCCGCCTTGGCTTCCCTACTTGCCTGTTCTGCCCGCCTTAGCGTGTCAGCAGCAATCCTTCGTTGGTCTTGAAGTCTGCCCATGCTAGTAGGAGACAGGTCTCTCGCAGTCCTCACCTTCTCCTTCAAGAAATTATGTCTGTCCTGAGCTACTTTGAGCTCAGAGTTGGCCTTCGCAATCCTGCCGTTCTTACTCATGCCGGAACCCTGGGTACCGCCCGACCCTTCCATGTTACACTGAACTGGACCCGTGGTTTTGGCTTGAGTCTTGCCCTTGGCCTTCTTGGAAAGGAATGGAGCATTGGCTTTAGTATGGTGAACAGTTCTCTCGAGGTTTCCTTTGACTACCTCTCTAGACACCGGCGGGCGGCTCTCCGCACAGGACTTATCGATGGCCTTGTTCTTCTTGTTAGCCAGAAGTCCGTTCCTGGTGGCAGTGCGCGCACCCACGCCTGCCATGCCATCAAACACCACTCCTAGGGATTCTCCTATGCAAGCCTCGACTATAGACTCTCCCTCCAGTCTCTTCTGGTGAATACTCTTAATGGCTGCAGCATGTCCGACGTTCACTTCCTCTCCGTCGATAGCGCTTCCGATAGCAGAGCACATGAAATCCGAGCCAATGCCGGCGCCCATGCCTGCAGTGGCTGCAACCACGACCCCTCCTATTCCCCCAGTTAACGCTGTCAGAGCTCCTGTGCCGGCAATCGCACATGACTTAGTACACGAGACCGCATAGATCTTGGCGCGCTCTTCATCACCGCAAGCCGCAGCAACACCTGAAGCCACATAGCCCACCACTGGAGTGCTGCCAGCAATGTCCGCCATGGCGTTCCCGAACTCAACCTGCACTCTGCTCGCCTCTTCGCCATTGCCCTGTGCAGCGTACACCGCAGAAGTAACCTGCGATACAACCGGGCACTGCCTAGAAAAGTTCACTTGGCACGTGCGCGCACCCTCAACATCACCTGCACAGACCCGTACCAGAGACTCCACTTGAGAGACAATTGGCAAAAAGTCAAAGAAGCCCATCGTAGGGCGTATTCCAGGCCCTCCTCTTGGCTCTTATGGATGGCCGGGCAATCTGGGATCTGGGCCGCAGGATCTGTTCAGGATCTGGGACACTTACCCTGGATCGACGGCTGAACCCACTACTGCCGCTAGCTCAGCTGGGGACCGAGGCTCGACTCGTCCAATTTGCTCTCGAGGTTGAGGATACCTTACGAGGGCACTCGTTGCACTTTGAGTTTGAGTTTGGCCGCGCGATTGTGGAGTTGACTGGTGAGGACCTGAACACGAGTTTAGCAAAGAGTGAGCGTCTGCAAACATAAGAGAACCTAGGTTACCTGATCAGACGTCCGGGGGGCGCCCGGGTTTGTCCGATCGGACAACTGGTAGGACATCCTCCCCAAGCAAGCTGTCCGAGCCCGAACAGCAAAAGAAAGAACACAAAAAAAGCCCTTATGTTATGCAGAAAAAGAAACTGAACAACTTTTGCCTCGGGATGACATCGAAATTCGTTCTCAAATTAAGAAAAAATTAAAAAAAATAAAAGACACCCCCATTTTTTTATTTTTTTTGTGCTGTAACTGCTAGAAATGGAATTGCCCGGACCCGGACGTCCGGGAATCTGCCTGTCCGGCCAGGACGTCCTGCCATCGGACAACTGGCAACATAGAAGGGAACGTAATTTCAGTGCCAGTGCCCACGTCCGCTGTCTGGTCAGGTAGATGAAGAACAAATCTAAAAAATTGAGATCGTGTAGATGAAGTTGTGATCTTTCTAGGACAAATATCAAACTAATGAAAAAAAAAAACAAATAGACCATGAAATAAATRTCACGCCGTTTCGTTGCATTTTTCATTTTTGCCATTCTAGCACATGTTGGCCAACAGGAAAAGTGCTCGAATTTCTTCGATTTTTTGCACTCAAAAGAATGACTAAACAACTCTGAAGGCCCTGTAGATTTGGTTGTGAATCTTGTGATTTTCCTGCGAAAAATATTTTACTTAAAAAATAAACATTTAAGATCGTGAAACAAATGACGTGCCAATTCCTCCTATATTCCATTTATGCTGCTTTTTGTTGCTTTATCACGTGCTAGCTAACAGGAAAAGTACCCCGGATTCAGGGATTGTTTCCGTCCAATACAGTACTCCAAGCAGTCTGGAAGTTGGAGGGTAATATGCAGATGTCGTTGTAATCTTTCTAGGAAAAATATTTWAAAAAATCAAAAAAATCATTTCAACCGCCAAATAAATCGCAGGGGCAATTCGATGTATTTTTCAATTTTGCCACGCCGACAGTTTCCTCCACTTTGTTACCGGTAGCCCTCATGAACCTGTGCTACAGGCCCCCCCAAATTTAAAACGGCGAGGGTAATGGTGGTTTAAAAGGTCTGCAAATTTGGTCGTGATTCTTCTATGAAAAATATATTTTAAAAAAATCAAAAACGTTGAGACCGTGAAATAACTGTCGTGGCAAAATCGTCTCATTTCTCATTCTTGCCACTGTGGGCCAACGAGAAAACTACCCCAACTTCAACGACTTTTCGCGGGGAAGAAAAATGTCAAGAAATTTGAAAATGTGGCGCATGTAGATTTCCTCACAATCTTTTCAGGAAAAATATCTAAGAAAGTATAAAAAATCATTTCAATTGTGAAAAACATCTCAGCAGCAATTYGATGTCGTGTGACACCCCGTACAAATACGGGGCGTTAATACAGCCCATATGGCCGTATGTACGGGCCCCCGTGCGGCCRTACGACCTGTTTCAGAGGCCTTTCCGGAGGGGTTCTGACACGTGCAGGGGTGGGGGGTTGTGTGCATGTCGAGGGCTGCCCCTCCGAAGTAAAGAACAAGAAAAYAAAAATTGTTCGTTTGGGGGGTAGGTGGGGGTGAGGGTTGTTGGSGTTTCGGGAGAAAAAACAAAAAAATATTGATTGATTGATTGATTGGTTGGTTGGTTGGTTGATTGATTGGTTGATTGATTGATTGATGATTGATTGATTGATGATTAATTGATTGATGAT